ATTCCTTCCAAAGGATGCCAGGAGGAGAGTGGGTCCCACAGCCCACAGGTGTCGTAGGCCCCAAAACTGACCGCAGAGTCAGGACCAGCCAGCATCTGCCCACACAGCCCCAGGGACACAGGACAAGGGAGCACAGAGCTGAAGTGGGATTCTCCCCTGGGGTAAACCTGTGCTGCCTCAGGGGGCTGCCCAGGTGCAAACAAAGACAGAGCGCAGGAGAGACACGCTCCACAGGCATAACCACTGTATAACATGCTCCACTTCTATAACCCATAGCAGGGAGCCCCAAATCTCCATGCTTTAAACTGCCAGGCCCTCACCATAATCCCTGCCAAGCCCAGAGGGAGCAGAGCAAAACTCAGCTGGAAGGAGTGGTCTGGTAGTTCATTTTTCTTTTGTCTCCCCTTTATCAGACTTCCTAGAAAATGGAAGTGGCATTCCCATCATAGCCATGATCTACAGATCCAGCTGCGGTGAGTTTAGCCCCCAAGGGTAGGCAAGGCCAATCTGTTAAGGGGTCTTGAACTGCACCAGGAAAGCTCCGAGAGCTACGGAGTTCCTAGGGCAAGTCGTACATGCATGCACGTGTGCCAGTGCGCACACCCACGCATACAGACAAGAGCAAATGCTGGTTTCCTAGGTGGCATTTCACCATGGTGACATGAAGATTGTCGACCCCTCCCTCGTATTGCTGTAGGAGACAGGGGAGCCTCTCAAAAACAGTATTGCACTGCCTCTCATGGTGGAGAAGGAGGCCCATTGCGGGTCCCAGCACCTTGACCGCAGCCTGCTGCAGCTGCAGAGAAGAAATGCAGGACTGAGTCCCTCTGACAGACTTTCCAGGAGGTTGCTCTGGGTCAGGAAGAGGCACAGCTTTTCTCCTTCTCAGGTCAGCAGTGTCCTTGGTTCATCACTGGACCAGCCCCATCTGCATAGTTCCCACCTACGGCAGCTGCGAGGGGCCGTGGGATATGGCCCTGAGGTTGGCTCCCCACTGTGCTGATGTGCCCAGATTCATGTGCAAACTTCTTGTTGCCATCCCCCTGGGCTCCGAAGGAGTCATGCCCAGAAGGAGCTCCCAGTGCCCACTGGCACCCATTAGCACGCACAACTGCACACTGCCTGTGGGCAGAGCACATTCTCAGACATGTGATATGAGCCCCAGAGACTGGGTCTTCCTTGCCAGGACTGTACACCTAGGCAGAAATAGTGAAACATGACAGTTGTGCTATGGAGCTAGAAAGACAGCAGCCCTCACCTCCAGGTCCTCGCTTGTCAGCCAGCTGCTGCTCATGAAGTTCAAGAAAGGGAGCACATGAAAACTGTAGTTGGCTGCCCGACAGCTGGGGAATGGGCTCTCATCCCCGATGTGGAATTTCAGGTTGGCAGCCCGGGCAAAGCCTTCCACAACTGCAGAGGGGGAGAAAAGATGAGACGTTTGCACAGGAACATTGGAGTGAGGTGCTGCAGGACATGCAGGCCTGGTGGTCATGGCAGTGTCCGGGCAGCCTCAGTGCTGCTAGGGGCAGATTTAGAATTTTGGACAGGTGGAGCATGCACCATGAGCTACATCTAGGATTCAATCTGCACCATCCGCCCCAGGGCCTAGAGGGAGCTCTAGCCTCGGTGATGGCTCCTGGGAAGTACTGTGCAAGAGGCATGAAGGGCCCAATCCTGCTCACAGTTCAGAGCCTCCAGCCAGCCCAGGGAGGGACGGTTCTCCACTTGTGGTTGGATCAGGCCTAGGAAATGCAGTGAAGGCCCCGCTTACCAGTGTGGGACACTCCAGTAGGGCCCAGGCTCTGTGTTAGGCCCTGGGTGCCCAGTGGGGGCACCTGCAGGAGGGGCTGGCACTCACCTCCACACAGCGCCCGCTTCATCTGGTCGGTCTCCACCAGCCTCAGCACAAAACGCAATTTGCTGAGCGTCAGCACAAGGAAGGGCTCAGACCTCAGTGCTGCAGGATGAGGATACATTGTTCAGTTAGAGACATTCCTGTCCACCTTTATCCCTCACTCTCAGGGTGAACAGCACTAAGGGGCTTTGAAGAAGTCAGAGGAACCCCACAGTAACCGTCCTACGTAGGGCAATCCTCTGTCTGCTGCCCCTCCCATGCCCAGATGCAGGGCAGCAGGAGGGAGTGGAGGGTCCTGCTCACCTGATCTCCACTCCTTCCTGTCCTGAAGGCCCTTCCAGCTGTTACAGAAGTTAGTGCTGGCGCCTTGGAGCCAGAAGCTAGATTCTTCGGGCCCCAAATCCAGCTCAGTTGTGATGGCCCCATTGGACAGAGTGGTATTTATCCCCTCCCTCCACAATCCCTGATGAGAGCCCGGAAGCAAGGGAGGCAATGCTGTACCATAGGCTGAGGCCACGTCGCCCAGTGTAATCAAGAAGTAAATTGGAGGGAGCTCCATGATGCCCATGTGACACTGCAGCTCATACATCACCCAATTGTAAAAGGTGCCGGCAAGTGCCACGAGGGTTTTTCCTGCAGCCAACTGCACTTCATCATTTTCTTGCTAGAATAAAAAAAGAAAACTGGAGCACATGCCCGATGCACAGTTTATACAGTGGTAAGTCAGGCTGGGGATAACTCTGAAAGGGAGGGAGAAGGATGCACTAGCCTCAGCTCCTCCAGTGGCCCAGTGCCATTTCATCCTTGGTTCCAAGCAAACTGTCTTCCCCACCACCTACCATCCACACACTGTAATAGCTGCTCCTGAATTCACTACATCCCCCTCGTAATTCCTTGAATGAGATCCATCACTCATAAATGCCAAGTGAAACACTTGGCTGAACAATGTTTCGGCTCTGGTTGGCTGGCCAACTGCAGAATTCACCTGGGCTGTAGGACATAGCTTCAGCATGGACCAGGAAGCTTCTTGGACAGTCCCCAGCAAAGCACCTATGCACTCTGGTCTTTCTCAGCAGACAAGCTGCCCCATGTTTCAGAGGAGCTCAACACTGGGCTGGATCGTGTTCCTGCTCTCCAGAACCATCTGGAGAAGATCTGTCTTGAGCAAGCCTGCAGCCTCTAACCAGGGTCCATGCAGGAGATACACCATAGGCCCAAGCTACATTGGACCAAACAAACTATGCATAGAGTAAAGTCTTGTGAGGAGAAACTGGGCAGAGCTCACTCACCTGGGTCTCCCTCATGTCTTTGGAGGCCAAGTGGATGATCCTCCTGACAAGGTTCCTATCTAGGCTCTTTATGTCCCCCTGCAAGACTTCCTGCAGGCTGGAGTAGATGGTTACTCTTGTCTCCTGGGAACACACCGAGAAAGAGAACAATGGGTTTCCTTTGGGGCCAGTGCCAGATCATGCAGGACTACGATGCTGGACATCAGTTACCCAGGGATTCTTCTACAGCCACGCTCAGGGGGACCTTGCTCCTGGACAGGAGCACAACCCAGGGTGTCTTGTGTTTGTCCTCTCATGCAGATGTTTACAGCTGGCACTAATAAGTGGGGAGTGTCAGGCACTGTGAGAGCACAAGGTAACAGACTGGCGGGAGACACAGAAAAGTGATCAGAAAAGCAGTCAGATGCATCACAGGCACTGTCACCCCAGTGCACTGGGGAGGTGGGAGTGACTTCCATTTCTTTCAGAGAGGGGGACGCCAGGGGAGTGACAAGGAGCTGCCGGGTGATCCTGAGCAGCAAATTTAGCAGCCATTTGCCAGGAAAGATGCTGCCAAAAACCATTGTGTGATTAGTTCTGTTACTGAATGAAGAAGGGAGTTGAAATATTTGTGAACCAAGTTGCGCTAACCCAGCCGAGTCATACTTGGATGACAGGTAATCAGGCAGGGAAAGTGTGTTGCCCAGGGTCTCTAGACAGAGGCTCAGCACCCTTGGCTGTATTCCCAGTTCTTTTCCTGACTTGCTGGGGGACAGTGGGCAAGTCACTTCACTTCCTGGGCTGAGGCTTTCCAGTCTCACAAGGCCGCTGGGAAACTGTATTTCATATCTCAGTGCTGTCAGATACTTGGAGGAAGACACTAAAGAGGCTCACAGCATTACCCGTAGGGTGAGGGCTTGTTTGAACGTGGCTTATACCATATGTATTATCCACTGGGACGGGGGAGATGATGCCCATGTGAGCATGCCCTGATATTGTGACATCACAATATAACAAGGGCATGTTGTATTGTGACCGTTAATAGGAGAGGAAGAATGGAAAAGACACAGCAGATGGAAAAAGACCCGTTTTACTTGGGGTCCCACGCTGCACAGCTTGGAAGAAAATACTTAGAGCAGCCGTGTTATACAGAGCCATCGCCCTACCTCCTCCTGTTGGAGTCTCTCCAGCAGAAGGCTCACAGTAATGTCAAGCTCCAGGTCTGCCTGGTCAAACCCTGGGTCAAGATTGCCCTGAGCTTGGTCCACCAGGCATCTCCCTGCAGAAGCATCACTGGTGGAAAAACCTGAAATGGAGGAAAAGGATTCTGTAGATTTCTGTTGTTCTCGTTCATCATCACCCACTAGCAGCTCTGCTGGAGCCAAACCCTGTGGCCTGGCTACAAAGGAAAGGTTTGCTAGCACAGCAACAAGGGGAGAGCTCTCCAGGCCAGCCTTCTGGGCTGAGGCAGCTGGTACTGCTAAAGGGACACTTTCCTTTGTGCAATTTAGTTCTGCCAAAAAGCCTGTCTTTGTCAATAGGATGGAGATGATGCTCTGTTCTTAGCCAGCATCAGAAGCTAAAAACCTATAATCATCAGTCCTGTGTGCAATGGCCACAGCTGTACCAGCCAAAGAGGCAAGATAGAACCTGGTCAGGGAGAAGAAGATGCATCTTCCCCTTTCTCCCGCTCTCTTATGCTAGAAGATTTGCTTGCAAAATGGCCCAGCCGGGTGGAAGGGGAGATTGCTGTGACATTTGTTTTCAGGAAAGTAAGGGAAGTTGTGCAGACAATAACATTTCTTTTCTCATTGGCAATTAGTTGGAGAATTGGGATCACACACCCAACATGATGGTTTAGGGCCAACGTTTTTGAAAGCAGAGTTGCCTATACACATACCAGGAATAGGGAATGGGCTGGTTAAATTAGAGTGGTTCCCCAACAGCCACTCTAATTAAAACGGCTCACCGTCATGTGTATTAAGCACCCCATATTTTAACATTGCCATTGGAACACCTTAATTGAAGCTTATTCAATGAGCTTTAGTTAAAGCACCCCCAAAAATGTGGCGGGGGGGTGGGTGGGGTGCCCTTAAATCCACATGACAGTGAGGCAAGGCTGGAGCGTTTTAATTAGAAAGTGGAGCAGACTCGATTAATGGAGCCTGCTCCAACCAGTTCTAATTAGAACATGAACCAGCACGTCTATAGGCTGCCATCGTGCTTTAGCTTAGGTAATGTATACAGAGACACCTCACACTACCCACCTGGCTGCAAGGGGGACAGGGTCAGAAATACCTCGGGCACGGAAGGAGGCCTTTCCCAGAACATCTAACACAGTCTCCAATGATTGGAGGCATATCAGTGTTCAGGGGCTGAAGGCTTGATCCTGACCTGGTATCCATCACTCAAGCTGCAGTCCAGGCCCCCAAGTTACAGTGGTTTGCACAACTGAAAATCTAGCTCTAGCAAAGATGATTTTAGCTAATCCAGTTATTCCTTGTGCTTTCAAGAAGGGGTGTGGGACTAGAGATTAGACATGGAGAACATTGGGGGGATCTTACCTCTGCTGGGTAGTGTCAGATCGATGACTTCCATTGTTCAAAGTCGGCTTCAACAAGCTTTCCTGCTCTAACGCGCTGAGCAGCTCCTATCGCGAAGGCGTCTGGAGGCACTCAGGGCTCCAGGTCCAGGACCCAGGAAAGAGGTGAGCCAACAGCCTTTGTGATGTAAGCACCACTATGACAACTAGGTGACCATGTCCTACCTCATAGCTGGCTGCTGACCAATGAGGGGCTGTGTATCATGGAGCTTTCACAGGGCTGCATAAGGCTCCAGACACAAGTATCCCCAGAGGAGGGTAAATTTGTTTTGATGTAGAATATCTTAGTCCCCCAGATCACCTTCGAGTTTCCTGTCTCCTCTAGGTGTGCTGTACCTTCCAACACTGATCGAGTATTTAAGTCTGCCCATGGAGGAACCAGGAAAAGCTTCCTCTCACTTGCTAGTTTTTGACCTCCTATGATTTTGCATCTTGTTGTCCAAAAAGGCTTGTTGTAGCCCTCAGATATTACACGACTGGGCTGCAACCATCTTGTCCATCCAGCCTGCCAAATGCATCCTGCCCACATGGTTCCTGGGTCTGCCTACATGCAGGCCCCACCCGCCCCCTCCATCCAGTGCCCCCAGTGGTGGGTGCGGGGTGGACGCTGCCAGGAAATCTATTTGAGAAGTCAATGATTCAGGACTTTAAAACTTGGCCCAATGGGAATCTCACACAAATGTCTCACGAGGTAGAAAATCCGTATATAAAGGTGCTCTCATTTCAATCCCTCGTTGCTGCCATATGCCCTAAACATTAGTTATTTAACTCATAACTCATAACATTGACAACCCCTGTCAGATTGCCAATGATCACTATTCTCAATTAGCAAATGAGGATAGGGAGGCAAAGAGAGAGTAAGTGGCAGGTCTAGAAGACACGTGCTGGTGCAGGGAACTGAACTAAGACCTCTTGAGTCCCTTTTCAGAGACCTCTGATGTGTCAAAGTCTCGCTGCAGAGGGTTTGCTCTTGCTTTTCCCGAGATTGCCTGTAATTCATGGAGGGGAAGGGAGCTTTTCCCGATGATACTAGAACGGTTGCATGTACTGCTAAACGAACAGATGTGATTAAGTGCAGTGTGTGCCTGCATACACTGGAGGACCTGCAAGACAAGTAAAATAACGAAGTGAATGGAGGAACTGTACAAGATGGTGGAGCTGTTATAATTTTTACGTGAATGTAGCATCTGGCTTAATCAAGCCCTTTTCTTCCTTCAAAACACAGTGAGAGGCTGACACCCCCTCTGCGCAGAGCTACCTGCATGAGCACTTTTCTCTGAACTTAGCAACAGCAAGTCCTGTGATCTTAGGTGCTCTATGTCTCAGTTCCATATCAGGGAAGTTATGCCAAAATTTACCATACTATTAAGGCTGGCTGTGCGGCATCTTACAGGGTGCCAAGCGCAAACATCAGTCTTCTAAAATGGTGCCTGCTAGTGGCAGGTCAGGCATGCAGCATGTGCAGCAGTTTCCCTCGGTTATCGCATGCTTCTGGCTTGAACTTCAGAAACGGACATCACTCTTTCACTCCTGCTGCAGGTGCTCACCCGCTCTGGAAACTAGGCCATCATCTTAACTCCTTCTATAAAGAAATGGGATATCTTCCATGTGCCATTTCCTCTTAGCTCATGCCCTCTCTTCAGATTTAAAGACGGAAGGAAGTCTGGTTTGGTGTCTGGGGCTAGGATTCCCCTCTACAGGACCTGGATTAAAACTCCTGGTTCACGTCACACAGACCTCTGGGGACAGGTGTCAGTCCCGCCTTGGGACTGGTGTGAAACAATACTCTGGAGTGCCAGTCTCAATCAGAGCCTTGTTGTTACTGTCTCTAGTCATAAAAGACATGAGGTATGCTGATATGGGAAGATGAAAGGTTGCATGCAGTTAACCAGCTCCCACATCAGCTGCTCTGCCCTTTGGATCTCCCAGTCCTTGGAAGGAGGGAAGCATTAAAGGCCTCCATTTGTACCGTGCTGTCCTTCCCTCCTTGCGAACAGGGGTCAATGGCAGTGCATGAACTCCCACCAAAGGCAGTACATCCTACACATGTGCTACTGCCAACAAGTTCCTTTGACCTGATAACGTAAGTAAATGTGTAAGGTCTCACCACCAGCCACTTGGCCTATTGCCTGCCTGCCCGCCCCCTCCATCCCCCACTCTTATATAGTTTAGTGAAGCTTTGACTTTGCTCAGAGGGATGGGCAGGATCCAGACCCAGCCAGCATGGGAACTGCACCCACCGACAATCAATAGTGCCCGGGAAGGAGAGACAGGAGATGGAGGACTTAGAATATCACTCAGAATATCAAGGCAGCAGGTTTCCCAGGGGTGTAGAGGTGCCCTCAGTTGGGCTGGCTGGGCAAATGCAAACAGGCAGTTATCAATCAGTCCATAGCACCACTGAGCTGCTCTGCTCAGCCAGACTAATTTCATCTCCAACACATTTTTATACAAACCAAAATAAAGCCGTCTTTCCTGCCCCAGTGCAGGGGGGCTGGACCTCATGATCTTGTAAGACCCCTTCCAGCCCCTAACATCTGGACAGGTTGGACATATGGGCGGAAAACAACAGAATGCAATTCAACAAGGAGAAATGCAAAGTGCTTCACCTAGGGAGGAAAAATGTCCAGCATACCTACTGCCTAGGGAATGACCTGCTCAGTGGAACAGAAGCAGAAAGGGAT